GGAGTCGGAGTGGGAGTCGATTTTTGAAGCCGGAGTATATTCGGAATATTTTTCTCTTCAAGACTTTCTCGAAGTATAGAAAACTTTCGGTTATTTTTGGAAAATAATATGATGATTGCTGAAATAATATGCTTTAATGATAAACATCTTATTGTGTTACACATTTTTATCTATGTTCAAAACTGTAGGAGTGGCAGCTATTCCCGCAAAAGTTTTTTTTTTCGAAAATTGCAGACCTATGACGTTATTCTGATGTCATTTTTGGCCAACCTATCACACTCTCTGGAAAAAGACGGCCCCGCATGGTGTAAAATTGATGCCGAGAGGGACCCTGAAAGTTTGGTGACGACTGACGATATCTACAATACTTGGGGAGACATGGATTGAAAAAGGGAGAAAAGTCGTTTCGGACTCCTGTCCCCCTGAAAGTCGAAGGCTAAAGCATATTTATCTCCTATCATATGGTGTTATGCTTCTTCAAGCGACTCATATGGATTTGGCTTCAAAAATCACAAAGATAACAACAAATAATATTGGTGTAACTAGAACCCAAATGCCTATCTATTAAAAATGATGTCAAAAATCCATACACCATTTTCTGCGGTAAGCTTTGTGTCTGGTAGTTTTGGAACTATAGTGCGGCAGAAAATAAAAATGTAGTGTGACACGATATCCGGCCTCATCAGGTCACGGATAATTAGCAGAAACGTCCCCAACAAATAACAGCGCTTAACAGTCGTCTGCCGGCCCCATTGGTAACCGGCTAATACTATTCGCGACCTTGGATCGGCACGCTGCCGGCTCACTCAGCCCGCTGGCTACGGGCGACCTTGACCGCTCAACACCGATTGGCCAACGGACGGGGTCGTGCGCCGGTCAGCACGTGGAGAGGACGGGGCACAGCACCGCACATTGTATGCGACCTCTGACCTTTCCCTGTCTCCTGACCGCATGACGGATCGCCGGCCCAGGCGGTAGAAACCGGTTCTAGCCTCTACACACGCTGCCACCCTAACCCTCCCCTCCCCCACGCTACTACGTGATGTAGTACACGCTCGTGCGTAACTGGGCGGAGCAAAGGGTCGCCGATACAGGGGCGGAACTAGTTGCCCTCCCGCCCGCCGAGCGACCTACCGCTAAAACCCGCGAGACCTGTACATGACTCGGATACAGCAGTAGGCAAATTGTTAACAAATAAATTAAAGAGCATAGGGCCCAAAACACTGCCCTGGGGCACGCCGGACAGAACGTCGCGTTTCTCATCACAGCCCCTAACAAACTGTTTTCTAGCGTCTAAATAGTTCTTAAACCATGGATGGTCAATGCCATACTGACACAGTTTGTCTAAGAGTAAGTTATGATTAACAGAATCAAAAGCTTTCAGCTTAAATCGAGAGATGCCAAAAGGCATACGTCACCCTTGTCGAGCGAAGATCTTATTGATTCTGTCAGGGTAATGAGGGCATGATCTACTGAGTGGTGTGGTCGGAAACCAAACTGGTTTCTGCCAACACACAACATTCATTTAAATAAGATCTAGGCTGGAGAGAAGTAAGACCTTCGAGGATCTTGGACACAACACATAACAGGGATATAGGCCTATAATTTGATGCCAATGCTTGGTCACCCTTGCCTTTATATATAGGTACAATTTCTGCGACTTTCCAGTGCAATTACATCAAAAGTTGAAGCGGAAAAACTTTTTGACCTGTCTTTAGCGAAATTTTTACATTCATACCCCCAAAACCCCCTAAATATTGACCGAGAGCAATTAAATTTGCACAGTGGCGAGAACTTCAGGGGACCCACTTACCTACCAAATTTGGTGTTTCTAGGTGCCATAGGAGCCAATCGCGAGGGGGAGGGGGTCGCATCGACCCCCCTGCCATGAAAAATGCCCTGCCAGGGCGAGGGTTAACCCGCACCCTGATGGGAGGGGGGCATTTTGCCCCCCCCGTGGTTTTCCTTGAATAACGAGAAAACAGCGGCGCGCAGCGCCGCCAAATTTTGGGTACCTTACCGGGCATCAATTTGACACCTTCACACAAAATTTCAAGTCACAGGTCACCTCTGGTCAGGAGTTATTGAGGTCAAACTGAGGTCATGTTCGAGTAAAAATGAGCAAAAAACATGACATCTTAAAACGCTCACCAATTCTACAGTTAACAAGCAAGTTCTTTATGGGGTTGTGTAAAACAAAGGCGGCACTACAAAAATGCGATCTCGGATTTTCGAAATTTTGGGTTTTTGACCCCCAAAAATTAAAAAAAGATTTTTTAGAAAAACTCTAAATTTCCAAAAAAAAAATCGAATTTCGAAAAAACGGAATGTATGTGATAGTCCCTTCGCCGCTCTTCTATATACATACCAAATTTCAGATCGATACCTCTTTTTTTGGTCAAGTTATAGCGAAAAAACTGTTAAAAATTGATGACGTCAAATTTTTGAAATCAATTTTTAGCAATTCTAGACCACGTAGCGCAAAACGGAGACCACCATTGGACTCCCCGTGACGAGCTGCATCGAATCGATACCCATTTGATGCAAAAATATCAACTTTGAAATTTGACCTAATTTGACCTGACCTCGACCTGACCTTGACCTGACCTTCACCAAAACATAATCTGAACCGACCCCAGTGGCTGCCTGTCCCTCATAATCGCATTTGGCATATAAAATGGACCATAAAACATGCATCACATGATATTTTTAATTTGTGACCCTCAGTGACCTGACCTCTGTGACCTGACATGGTATCAGTGACCTCAAATAGCAAAATATGTGTTTGACGAACATTTCCCCATCGATGATTTCCAATGAAATGCAGTTTACTCGATTTTACAACTCATTTCTTGAAATGCCTGTAAACGGTGAAAATTCGACCTTTGACCTGACCTGTGACGTCATCGGTGTGACCTAGGTCAATGAAATTCGGTCACAAGGTAGTTCCCCATTGGGGCTATCCAGCGCCGTTTGCCGCTTGTCGCTATGTTGCGTGGTTCTCGAGATCTTAGGGGGGGGGGCAAAATGCCCCCCCATCAGACCACGTTGCTCGGCAGACCCCATCAGGGCGCGGGTTAAAACATGTTGTAAATCTAGCAGAACAATGAACTGTCTTCACAGGTATCCTGAATAACTTTGATAGCGATATGGATCGCTAAACAAACAAATATAACACTTGTTTAGCAGGACGAGACTCGAACGTTTCTTCCGTGGCCGGTCAGGCGGGCCTAGCGCCGGGTCCACGAGTTGATAAGGGTCATTTCAAGCTTCTGTGTGGCTGAACTTGATCCATGATGACGCTCAGTTGTGTGATTGCGCTTTGTTGCCGGCTGTGAGAGATGCATATTAACCCGAGCCCTGATGGGTCTGCCGAGCAACGCGGTCTGATGGGGGGCATTTTGCCCCCCCCCCCCCTGGATCTCGAGAACCACGCAACATAGCGACAAGCGGCAAAGGACGTTGGATAGCCCCAACGAGGAACTACGTTGTGACCCAATTTCATTGACCTCGGTCAAACCGATGACGTCACAGATCAGGTCAAATGTCGAATTTTCACCGTTTACAGGCATTTCAAGAAATACGTTGTAAAATCGAGTTAAATGCGCATCATCAATAAGTAGAAAATGTAAAAACATGACCTTTTCGGAATGGAATGGAAATGACATCTTTTCTAATTTGAAACTGTTTGAAAAGACCTGTGGTCGAAATATTATATTCTTTCAAATAAAGAATATATTTGTACATCATTAGTTTTGGTAATTATCGAGGAAAAAAGGTCATGTTTTACATTTTCTACTATTTATAAACATGTTCCTCGCATAAGCACTAACCTCATTAAAATGCATCTCATTGAAAATCATCGATGGGGAATTGTCCATAACATACTTTTTTGCTATTTGAGGTCACTGATTCCAGGTCAGGTTACAGAGGTCAGGTCACTGAGGCTCAAAATATGAAAACATCATGTGATGCATGTTTTATGGTTCATTTTACATGACAAATGCGACTATGTGGGTCAGGTAGCTGTTGGGGCCAGTTTAGGTTATGTTCTGGTGAAGGTCAGGTCAAGGTCAGGTCAAATAAGGTTAATTTCAAACTTGATATTTTGCATAAAATGGGTATCGATTCGAGGCAGCTCGTCACGGGGAATCAAATGGTGGTCTTTGTGTGCGCTACATGGTCTAGAATTGCTAAAAATCGAGTTCAAAAATCTGACGTCATCAATTTTCAACAGTTTTTTCGCTAAAACTTGACCATAGAAGGAGGTATCGATCTAAAATTTGATATATAGATAGAAAAGCGCAGCATCTATCATACATATTCGGTTTTTTCAAAACTCGAAAAAAGGAATTTTGGGTTTTTTAGAATATATTTTCGGGCGTCAAAATACTAAAATTTTGAAAATCCATTATACCAGTTTTGTAGCACTATTTTTACCCTACACGACCACATAAAGAACTTTGAGATTGCTTGTTGACTGCAGATCCTGTCGGCAATTCAAGATATCATGTTTTTGCTCATTTTTGCTCGAACATGACCTCAGTTTGACCTCAATAACTCCTTACCTAAGGTGACCTGTGACTTGAAATTTTGTGTGAAGGTGTCAAATTGATGCCCAGGAAGGTACTGATCATTTGGCGTCGCTACACGTCACTGTTTTCTCGCTATTTAAGAAAAACCACAGGGGGCAAAATGCCCCCATCCGGGTGCGTATTAATATTTGAGAATATTTTATTGCTGTATCTTGTTCTTTTGGCATTCAGCTTTCACTGGAAAACGAAAAAACATGCCTTTGATTTCAAGAATGTCCTGGACAGCTCGTTGAATAGAAAATTATTACGTTTTTACAATAACGCAATTTAAAAAAGGCCATTGAGCGATTTCGATAAAAAGTACATTTTCTAATCAGCTTACCGTCAGATTTCGAATGGTATATTTCGTTTCTTTTGTGGATGACTTTCCGATGAGCCGTGAGTGGGCTGCGAGCGCCAACTCACCTCCGAAGTTGGGCCGCAGGCGAATGTCGTAGCCCTCGAGCAGCCGGTATATTGTCTGCGTCACGTTTACGAGTCTCTCCACGCTGGTACCACAGTTGACGTCACTGAAATAGAGGCGGCCCCGGTCAGCCCGAGTTCACCCACAGCTGACGTCACTGGCACAGAGCCCGGCCGGTCAGCCCGGCGGCACACACTCGGGGCTCGATCGGGCCTTGACGCGTATGGCTTCATCCATGTGGAGCTTCAGATGCCAAATGTGACCCTGATGTATTTGATTCAGTTCAGTGGTTCGAGCAATACTTCACTTGATGTATTGTAAAACGATGTCTTGAAACATTTTGACAAGGGTAGGGTGGGGTAGTTTGAACATATGGGGCATTTTGAAGATAGTATGAATAACACAAAAATACAGAAAATCCATATAAGTGGCACGACCATAAAAGATAAAAGGATGATGAATAAGGTTAAAAGGTATAAAAGGTAGGTATAAAAGGTATAAAAGGTCTAAAAGATGAAGCAAGGTTGGGAGAGTTTTTATCGAACGGAAATGATAGACATTCTGTTAACCCGCGCCCGGCTGGGGGTCCTGGATTTCCACGCCCTGCTGGGGGGGGGGGGTGTTTGAACACCCCCCTTCTAACTCGGCTCCTGGGCCACGTAGCGATACGCGGAAGGCGGCGTTAGAAAGACCGTCAAAAATAATGAGGAAATCACTTCGGTCAATTTTTTGGTCAGGTCAAAGGTCAGGTCACCAGAGGTCATTGAAGGCAAAATTTCGCCGATTTCCAGGTCGAATGTCGACAATTTCCAAGAAGCCAACGCATAACTCGGGAACCAATAGAGCTACAGCGCCGCGGAAAAGCGCATTCGATAGCCCTATTAACGCCCTTTCTGAATAATTCTCTCAGATTTGACCTAACGTCAACGGTTTTGCCTGCAGGGGGCAAAAACTGCAAAAATAGCCGATTTTTTCGGAAAGAGTTTTTCTGCAATAACTTTTGACCCAAGCCTTGTACGAGCTTACTTTTACCGGCATCGTGTTCCTCTCGTCAAGACGCATCGAATGAACTATAACTTGACCTTGAAAGGTCAACTTGAAAATTTGACCTCAGGTCAAGGTCATGACCTGACCGGAAAGGGTCATGTTGCATATCAGTCGATCCGTATCGTCGAGCTGAACACATCTAAGGCGTTTTCATCGCTCTAGCATGCCTCTATCAAAAGTTATTTGCGAAAAACTGTTAGATACCATTCGTGACCTAAGATGACCTCAGGGCATAAACAGGGGTCACGGACACCATTTTTATGTTCAGTGTGTCTAAACCACTTGTAATTCAGTGTTTGGGAGTGTTTATAATGTCGTTCGTCCAAAAGAGGCGCATTTCAATTTTCTCCCATTGACTTATAATGGGGAGGTCGCAAAATTGACCTGACCTTAGGTCATCGATATCAAAATTCTGAGATATACATTTTGTACATGCTGTTGCTCTTAGCAATCGCTGAAAGTTTCAAAGCGATCGGTCACTCGGTGTAGCTATGACAGACATTGAAACTTTTTATGAGGTGAGGTCACTTCAAGTGACCTGGTGACCTGACCTTGAATGACCTTGGTCAGAAATTTTCACAACATGTGTAGAATTGATGTACGATAAGGTGTACCAAAAACGGCCGTTTTTGAGATATTCGCGAAAAACCACAAGGGGGGTGTTCAAACACCCCCCCCCCCAGCAGGGCGCGGGTTAATTGAAGAGAGGCGACTTCTGTTGACTGACCGGTGTGCGGCGTGCAGATATTGATACTCTGCAACTGTTATGTTTGTTGTTGTGTTGATTTTTCAAATGAAGGAATGTTTAGGATTGTTCTGCCTATTTGTTTATGGATCAAACAACATCGGTGGTGGCGAGATTATTGTTTTTATGGCAGGTACATATAGGCAGTATGTTCAAATTACCCCACGGTGGGGCAAATTGAACACACCGTGACTTGGTGGAGAAGTGCGGCTATGCTATTCAAGGTATGCTCGGCTCGTCCAAAAATGAGGCTTGCATGGTGAAAACAAGTGACATTTGCGCTAATGTAACAGTTTTTCTTCATCCAGGATTGAGCTAGCATTTGGTACGACGGAGAATATATAAAGATATGTTCAAACTACCCCACCGTAGTAGGGTGAGGTAAATTGAACATACTTTAATATTTGTTTATTTTATTTGTTTGTTTGTATATTTGATTGTACTTTAATACTTTAACCCTCGCCGGCACAGGGGGTTGATAAAACCCCCTAAGGTTTTCGCGAATAACTCGCGTAAAAAGCGGCCGATTGCGACGAAACTTTCAGTACCCTCGCATTGATCAATTTTACACCTACCCCGAAACTTTCATGACCCTGACCCTAATGACCTTTGACCTGTGACCTCTTTTCCGTGACCATGTTTGGCCGAAATCGCGATTCGGCGTATGTCGGCATGCATTAGCCGCGCGTTTGCAAGCTTTTCGTGGTTTCAAACGTTCAAACATGTGATTTGATGTTGCTCCCATACATTAGGGTGGGTGTCAAGGTCACCTGAAGGTCAGGTCAGGTCATTGACCTTTGGTGACCTCGGGTGACCTCGGTTCACTTTTTTCGAGTTTAACATGTTTCTAGGCTAGTTTTGGAGCTGAATTCGAATTAAGCAACCATTTAAACATTCACGAAGTAGGTAGTTTTGGTGCCTTCGTAACATAGTACGAAGCTATTATAGGATTAAATTGGACTTACTCCACAAGAGAATCGTTTTCGGTCGACCGAAAACGATTCTCTTGTGGAGTAAGTCCAATTTAATCCTATAATATCTATTTGCTCTCCACACTAACATGTCTCTAAGTCTATAGTACGAAGCTGTCAGAGGCGGTTGACACGTATTACGAATACCCGTCACAGCCCCTACCGGTTGACCTGACCTGACCTGACCCGACCTGGTCTAAATGCTTAACACGCGCACCGACGGGGGTCTGCGCCAACTTCGCACCGACGGGGGGGCGGATGACCGCCCCCCCCCCCCCTGAGATCTCGAGAACGAAGCCAGATAGCGACAAACGGTAAACGGTATCGGATACGCACGGTCAAGATCTACAATTTTTACAGAGGTCATTTTCAGGTCAGGTCAAAGATGACGTCACAGGGGTCGAAAAAGTCAAAATGGCGGCGCTAGATATGGGGAGTTTTTTTCTCGAATAACTTTCGAATTAGTCAAGATAGGAACAAACTAAGGGCATCATCGTGATCCTCTCGTCAATCCGCATCGAATGATACATATGTTGACCTCGAAAGATCAAGGTCAAAGGTTGACATAGGCGCGGGAGCCGGGGGGGGGGGGCAGTGGGGGCAGCTTGCCCCCCCCCCCCCCAACTCTGGGGCCGTGGGGGCGGTGCCCCCACAGCTTTGAGACGGAATACCACACTTTTTTTGCAAATGTTTTCTTTTTTTGTTGAAAAAGCCGAGGGGTGAAAAATAAGTGGCCTAAAACCGGTGAGAAAACTAGATTTGGGGGTACCCTAGGTTGATCTCTATTATGGTGTGCCCCCCCAGTCGGAAAGTAGTTCCCGCGCCCCTGAAGGTTGACCTCAGGTCACATGACCTCGAGGTCATCATGTATATCATTCGATGAGTCTTGACGAGCTGAACACAATGAGACCATCTACGCGGCTGTACCTTGTTCCTGTACGGAGTTACTGGCCAAAAACCTTTGGTGACCTTTGATGACGTCACATGACCTTACAGCTGCCCAACAGCAAAACAGATCTCAAGGTAGTGAAGTTCGATCGTATATGAAGTCATGTATGGTATATGGGGCCATTCCGACCCGTTTTAGTGGTAAAAACAGGGAGTTGATTTTCCCCCATTGACTTATAATGGGGATTGGGGAGGTCGCGAAATTGACCTGACCTTAGGTCACCGATATCAAAATTCCGAGATTAACAAATTGTAGCTACTAATGACCTCACAACATCCTGCGACTTTCAAAGGCCTCCGACATCTATAGTAGCTCTGGCACGGTGACAAAGTTGCAAAAAAGTGACTTGAGGTTGGGTCATTCAAAGTGACCTGGTGACCTGACCTTAAAAGGTAGGAGGTTCAAACTTGCACACCATGTGTAAAATTGATGAGGGAATAGTGGTATCATAGCGCCCGCGGTTTTCCCGCTACTCGCGAAAACCCTCAGGGGGCGGATATCCGACGCCCCGTCGGTGCGCGTGTTAAAGACATCATCTCTGATCAAAACTAACACGATATTCGTGATCAGCACCCCGGAAAACCACATGGCAGCCACACTACGACTTTCTAACAGGTCCCGATTTTCCCGGTTTTCGGGTCATTGACCTGACCTGGAAGGCCACCCGATGACCTAGGACCTTAAAATTGGGTATCATCGGCTTCCTCTCATGACGGGCAACACGCTCGTTTTTCCGCGAAGCTCTAGCTTGATCAGGGGCCAAACGCGAGGGGGGGTCGTACCCCCCCCCCTTGTGTCGTCGAAGGACGCAAAATGGTCTGTGCCGGCGAGGGTTAATATTCGTTTAATTGTCCCAAAACATCCCAAAACAACATTTTTGACACCAATCTGGGCGTTATATGTGACACTGCAATGATCTCCGACACCCGCGAGACACCCCATGGGAATATTTTCCTCATTTTTTTACGCTGTTTCACGGAAAAAATATTTACACCTAGGTGATAAAGGTAAGCCCAGGTATACACTATTTTTGCAATTATTTCACACCACATACACCTTTTTTCAGATTTTTTACTCTTCAAAGGTATCACCGAAAAATGGAATTTTAGCAGTCACACCCGATAAAGGATTTAATGACTTACAGGACAGGGTGATATTAACCGTGTTTACATGGGTTCCCTTAATCTTCCCCTATTTGTCTCTTAAATGTCCCTTATAAAGGAATCCTCTGTCTCCTTTACCTCACTTCACTACAAATATGGCGCAACTAAGTCATTCTAGAAGCAGTTTGCAATAGGGTTGGGACCTATCTGCATGCTCTGTATGTTTTGGTAAAATAAAAAAGCTCAGAATTTTAAATGATTTAATTTAAAATCACTTTGTTAAAAAATGCC